GGTGACCCCAGGCCCTAAGTCATGACCCATGTGACCTCCCCCTGGGATTCGCCACTGATTAGTACTGCGATGGCTTCTTGGGAATTTGATACATGTAGGATAAATGGAATTTATCAAACGAGAATAAGGAAGAGACAAACACATAGGTACTTGAGGATCAGCTTGTTTATTTGTTTATTTGTTTATTTATTGGCATAGCGTCCACAGGCAAAGCCCCACTTACGGATGCAGTCACACACTGACAATAACAACCACTCACACACACTGGAAACACTGGCTTAACCCTTGAACGCCTAAGGGGGGGGGGGGTTGTATCAACCCCCCCCCCCTGAGGTTTTTTTCGAAGTGCACGCTAAACGGCTTGTCGTAGCGGGCTGAAATTTTCAATACCCTCTGGGGCAACCTTTGCGCATCTTTTGCCGAAAAAAATTGATCGGGTCATGTCAGGTCACGGAGTTATGACGTCATAAGAGGTACAGCCTCCGGCCGACAGTTACCAAACGTGTGCGCCGAATCCCTAGGTTTTCTGCCGGTGATACCCACATTAATTGATGGATCATGATGAAACTTCCCATGCATGTTGGGGCAAGCATTGGCTATCGTGTGGAGCAATGAAATTGACCGGGTCAGGTCAGGTTACGGAGCTATGACGTCACAAGGGGAACAGCGTCCGGTACTATTTTTGAAAAGCGCCCGAACCACTATTTTGCTAATTCTTGTCACCTCAATGGGAATATGCAGCAATATTAGCTTCTATAGGGAGCAAATGGACCTCCCAAATCCAAAAATACAATCAGATTTCAAAAATTTAAATTTTGATTTTTCGAATTTCTGCCGCCGACTGTGACCTTGCCGACTTCCGGCGCTCCCAAAGCGCCATTTTTAGAGCTAGGGAAACGAAATACATACCAAACGATAGAGAATTGATCAAGGAACACGATAGTGAAGGTTTCAAGTCGATATCTCCCACCGTTTTGCCGCAATCGCCGCGGAAAGTTGAAAAAGTTTGATTTTTTCGGAAAATTTGACCTTTGACCGGTCATAAGTAGGTCAAATGTTGACCTAGGACCAAAAAATATACCACCAATCGCGAGATCTCGTTGAGAGCAATCCGTTGGTTTTTTCCGCTAAGCTCTACGACCTTCCGTTTCGAAACGCCAGGGGGGGGGTCGTAACAACCCCCCCCCCCCTGGTCGTTCGTGTTATGAGAAATGGCCTGGTCGTGCGAGGGTTAAGATGACCCTGGCCACAGTGTTTCTTATAATGGTAAATTTGGCACATAGCATTGCCTGGTTTTGTTCAAACAGCAGCTTATACCCTGCTGGGTCTTAGCACGACTTTTCAACCTTAATGGTTAGGATGCCATTTTAGTGGTTTAATAATCCATTTTGGTTAAAAGATGTTACCTCCATCTTATTCTCCAGACTTTAAGGTGTATGTAATGACCAGCTATTTTGAATCAAGACAATTCTTTTTTTTTGGGAAATGAGTAGAAGTTTGGCACAGCCTAGCAGTCAAACACGTCAGGCTGCAGGCTGATGGTCAATTATTTACTATTTTTTTCACATGTTTTGTTCCTCAAGATGACTTTTATTTTCAAAAATCAACATCAAATTGCCAAACCTTAAAAAACATTGGTGTGGGTGTGTTTATTTGTTGATCATTATCATTGCGTAATCATTGCATGACCAAATGAATATTGAATGTTGCATGGTGTGAGTCTACCACAGATCTTACGAGGGCCATATGGGGCTTCACGGTTTAAGAACCTGATGTTATTTCTGTATGTGTCTGCATGCTTTTGCCTGTTTGAAATGCATACCTACTGTCTCAGTCTTGTCTGGACGTGCTAGGACTTTGATATGTGGGGTTCATGATGACACGCATTGCAGTAATCAGACTGTTTTCAAGAAACCTTCCACACTTATGAATGCTGTAAAAAGCTCTCTCTCTCTCTCTCTCTCTCTCTCTCTCTCTCTCTCTCTCTCTCTCTCTCTCTCTCTCTCTCTCTCTCTCTCTCTCTCTCTCTCTCTCTCTCTCTCTCTCTCTCTCTCTCTCTCTCTCTCTCTCTCTCTCTCTCTCTCTCTCTCTCTCTCTCTCTCTCTCTCTCTCTCTCTCTCTCTCTCTTTGAACACCCCCCTTGTGGTTTTTCGCGAATATCGCGCGGGTTAACCCGCGCCCTGCTGGGGGGGTGTTTGAACACCCCCTTGTGGTTTTTCGCGAATATCTAAAAACGGCGGCGCGTAGCGCCGCCGTTTTTGGTACACCTTATTGTACATCAATTCTACACATGTTGTTAAAATTTCAGACCAAGGTCATTCAAGGTCAGGTCACCAGGTCACTTGAAGTGACCTCACCTCATAAAAAGTTTCAATGTCTGTCATAGCTACACCGAGTGACTGATCGCTTTGAAACTTTCAGCGATTGCTAAGAGCAATAGCATGTACAAAATGTATATCTCAGAATTTTGATATCGATGACCTAAGGTCAGGTCAATTGTCGCCGACAAACTGTCGCTCGGAGTTCTTTTCTGGTTGGATGTGGACTGTATTTTGTTCGGTGAGTTTGTGCGACATTCGTAGCCCGCCCGCCTGCTATGTGAGCTCCTGGGTTTTTGATATTCGGCGATTTTCAGTAGTAGATAGACGTGAAGATTTCCCGTAGAGGATTTATTGAAGTATACGCGAAGCAAGAAGCGGAAGCAGTTGTGAAGAAACCGGTAGATGAAACACGCAGACACGGAGCACAATTCACTTTCGCTGTACAATCTGAAGCACTGACACTGCCCCGCCGGGCGCGGCTGCGCGCAGGAGAGTCGGTCTGCGCGCGTGCTTCTGTACTCTGTCCCCGCTCAGCCGGGCGAGGCGTCGAGCGGGGCAGATCAGTCCGTGCGCACAGCGCGACGGTCGAAGTGAGACTCTGCCGGGGTCGTACGTGACCCACATTTTATACGCAATGCTTAAGACGTGTGCAAAACGAGTGCGAACTTGCACTGCAGCGGGGAGGTGGCTGAAGGCGCCAGCTTGGCGGCCTACGTGCCTTAAAACGACGTGTCTTTAATTTATATCTCGGTCTCGGTGGCGGCTGCGGCGCTGCTACGGCTCGGCAGCGTCGGCGGCACGCGTACCGACCGCCGGCCGCGTCTGCTCGCGGCCCCGCCCTGCACAATGCCTCACAACTCATCCTGAGTCTGGACGGGGTGACGGCGGTGCGGCGGCGGGACGGCTGCAGCGAGCGGCGGCGGCGCTGCGGTGGCACGGCGGCCGGCCGGCTATCACGGCGGCACAGCGGTAGCGCGGGTTGGTCCGAACACTTTCGTCGGTGACATCAATTTTGCGACCTCCCAATATAAGTCAATGGGAGAAAATTGAAATGCGCCTCTTTTGGACAAAAGACATTATAAACGCTCCCAAACACCGGATTACAAGTGGTTTAGACACACTGAACATGAAAATGGTGTCCGTGACCCTTGCTTATGCCCTGAGGTCATCTTAGGTCACGAATGGCATCTAACAGTTTTTCGCAAATAACTTTTGATAGAGGCATGCTAGAGCGATGAAAACGCCTTAGATATGTTCAGCTCGATGATACGGATCGACTGATATGCAGCATGACCCTTTCCGGTCAGGTCATGACCTTGACCTGAGGTCAAATTTTCAAGTTGACCTTTCAAGGTCAACTTATAGTTCATTCGATGCGTCTTGACGAGAGGAACACAATACCGGTACAAGTAAGCTCGTACAAGGCTTGGGTCAAAAGTTATTGCAGAAAAACTTTTTCCAAAAAAAAATCGGCTATTTTTGCAATTTTTGCCCCCTGCAGGCAAAACCGTTGACGTTAGGTCAAATCTGAGAGTATTACTCAGAAAGGGCTTTAATAGGGCTATCGAATGCGCTTTTCCGCGGCGCTGTAGCTCTATTGGTTCTCGAGTTATGCGTTGGCTTCTTGGAAATTTTCGACATTCGACCTGGAAATCGGCGAAATTTTGCCTTCAATGACCTCTGGTGACCTGACCTTTGACCTGACCAAAAAATTGACCGAAGTGTTTTCGTCATTATTTTTGACGCTCTTTCGAACGCCGCCTTCCGCGTATCGCTACGTGGCCCAGGAGCCGAGTTACAAGGGGGGGGGGGTGTTCAAACACCCCCCCCCCAGCAGGGCGTGGAAATCCAGGACCCCCAGCCGGGCGCGGGTTAAGATGGTGCTGCTAGGCAACAGTGTACTGCCTCCTCTGGTGGATGGAGTGGGGTGCCAAAGCTCAGTTATACATGTACATTTCACCATTAATCAATAGATACAATATACATAGATATATCTTCTGCTATTTTTATTAGCATATGCAGCTGCTAAAAATAGCACTCTTAATAATATTTGGGGCTTCCTGAATCAGCAAAATTTACAGCATTGTTCCTTAGGTTTTTAGGCAAATGATAGGTTCATTTGAAAATGTGAGAATTGTAGTATAGAAATTGCATGCAAAACAGTGTGTTTCTGAGTGAAAGATGAATGTTTGACCAGTTTTCAAACAGTACTTTTTTCCGTACCAATTTTTAGCAGATTCGTACCCATTTTGGGCAGAATTCTGTTAAAATAGCAGACTGCTAAAAATGGCAGATTTTACCATAGTTTCCCCGACTGGTATCGTCAACCTCGGTTGTCTCGGTTGTATAAAATCGTTCAGAGTTGATTTGATACGACTCTGAACGATTTGATAGGACCGATTAGATTTGTGTTAAAATGCCGAAATCAAGGGATATGGTTCCCCGGTGCCCCCCCCCCCCCCCCAGTTAATGCATGTAAGCACAGACATCCAAACACTCAGACGGGTACCTAGCACACAGAGAAGACCACAAAGACTTACAGAATCACATACACACCGTTACATAAACACATGTTGTCTGACAATAGACACAGACGCACAAAACACACTCAGACAACAGACACAGGGACACACAGACCCCCACCCCCCCCCCCCCCACACACAGGTCGGCCAAGCTTACCTGATATTCGCCGCCTCCGCCGTGGTCGGCTCCGGTGGACAGAGCTCAGTACCGTCCACACACTGTCGGACCACCCGCTCTGTCCACTGACCCGGCCGGTGGACGCAGCGCAGCTCGTGCTCCTCCGTCGGCCTTTGTCCCGGTCTGGACCGCTGCAACTGCGCAGTACGTTATTACCCCGGGGCGGGGCGCCGCTGAGTCATGGTACCGGTTAGCGCCGACCTCGGGCCGCTGGGCGACTGCAGCGCCCCTACCGGTCACCGGCGTCGTACTGTAACTAATGGCGAGCCGGAGCATTAATGGAACACTTGAGATGTAAGTGCACAGTTGCCTCGTAAAGGCTAATCAGCAACAACAACAAAATAAAATGGGAGCTCTCTACATTCGTCAAGGACTTGGATGTCCGGGTTCCAATGGGCCTTGTCCCGTAGCGAGGAGACTCTAGCGTGTCCAGTGAGCCGGCGGCGCGGCGTTCCAGACTGATGACGTCAGCGGAAGGCCACCATGGATTCGTGATAACACGGGCCGGATGGCGGTGCAGCAGCCCCCCCCCTCCCCCCCTCCCCGGCCGTCTGGAACTCCCCCATCCCTCCGGACACCGGTTGCAACTCGGTAATGTAAAACATAGTGAGCAGCAGACATGTGCAGGGATGGAAGAGGCGGGTCTATGATCTCAGTGGATCAGCGGCGTATTTAGAAAATCGCGAAGGGGGGGGGGCCAAGGGTTTGGAGGGCGCCACCTCACCCAAGGAGGGCGCCATACGGTCGCGAGATAAAAAATCGCTCAGCGGGGTGGGGGGGGGGGGTTGGGAGGCGTTTTTTATCATGCCACCAGTTTTTTTTTTTGCGTAACCTCGTATAGGTCGTGCTGCATTGATTTTGCATCGTGTGTATTCTTTATACTCCAGGTCACAAAAGGTCAAGTGTTCTTGAAATGCTGCGCCGAAGGCGCGCGAAATTTTTGAAAACAACCTTTTCCTCCGCTTTTTAGGCACGCCTTTTATACGATCACCGTTCAAAGCTCCTCTCGCTCTTTTACCAAATTTGAAGGTGTAAAAAATACCTAAGGTTTGGTCGGGCCGCTGCCACACAAACTGTATAGAAAGCTTGGCTCATGGGTGTCGATGTATAAAAGTTTATTGGCGGTGGCATATCTACGCACCAGATCACCGTATCGGATTGATACCGGAGCGCGAGATGCGTAAACATCATCCAAATTACCTCAGACCAGCCTTCATAGCCTTCTCACAGATGCATACAGTGTACCCACATAACCAGTTTCAATCACCGAAACTTCAGATGCCTGCTGTTGCGGCCGAACCTGTTGACAATACTTAATCGTAATCCATATAGATGCCATGATGCACGTAAAGTAGGATCAATCCGTTAAGACCAAAGACGTGTTTTATGCATCGTAGAGCGTAGATAGTTTTGGTAGGTATAGGTACTTCATTCATTGTGCTGAATGCACGTTCATTTGTGGCAGTTTTCACAGGCAAGACATCAACTATGTGCAATAGAACGACTAAGTTGAAAAACATGCCAAAGGAGTAAATAAATGATAAGAGGGCAGCGATCAACGGATGTTGCCAATAGGTAGAAGGGCTGCGATCCACAGGAGGGCGCTAATAGGTAGGAGAGCCCCGATCAACATCCCGAGTTTCGATAGTAGGGCACCGATAGGTAGGAAGTTGGCGAGCAGCAGGAGGGCGCCAATGGATAGAAGGGCAGCGATCAACAGGAGGGCACCAATAGGTAGGAGGGCCCCGATCACAACAATCAACAGGAGGGCGCCACCAGGTAAGAGGGTGGCGAGGAACAGGAGAGCACCAATAGGAGGGTGGCGATCAACAAGAGGTCGCCAATAGGTGGGAGGGCGGTCATCAACTGGAAGTCGTTAATGAGCGGAAGGGTGACGATTAAAATGGGGGTGGCAATGGTGAGGAGGGCGCCTTTGCTCAAGAGGATGACACGAACAGGAGGGCGTCTGTGCGGAGGGCGCTGGTCAACAGGCAGGTACCAGTGGATAGGAGGGCGGTGATCAACAGGAGGGTGCCAGTGGTTAGGAGGGCGGCGATCAACACGAGGGCGCCAATAAGAGAAGGGCTCCGATTAACATTCAACAGGAAGGACTAGGGAACCAATAGGTAGGAGGGCGGCACTGAACAATAGGGTGCCAAAAAGGAGAAAGGCGGCCTTGAAAATTTCACATGAGGGGGCAATAGGTAGGAGAGCGCCAATAATTATGAGGACGCCGATCAGCAGAAGGGCGGCAATATGTAGCAGGGTGGCGACCTACAGGAGGGCGCCTTCGGGTGAGAGGGCGCTTATTTACGGGACAGCGGCTTACATAGGCGACCACCGTTACGCTTAGAGAGCTACAGCCTACAAATGTGGTTGGAGGGCGCCCGAGGGAGCCCTCCAACCGTATTTGGAGGGCGTATTTGGAATGGGCGTCCTCCGAGGGCGCCCTCCATCCGTATTTTCCCTGTAAACACATTCGCGATTGGAGGGCGCCCTCCAGTCGCGATTGTTTTTCGATTCGATTATATCACAATTGCATTTGCGATTGGAGGGCGCCTTCGGCGCCCTCCAATCGCAAAGGGCGCCTTCGGCGCCCAAGGGGGGGGGGGCCATGGCCCAGTGGCCCCCCCCTGCCTACGCCCCTGCAGTGGATATCTCGACAAGTTGGAGGGGTTGGACCTACATCTCATCCCTCGCCCGGCCAGGGGTTGGGGAGGGGGAGATAGATTAACCCGCGCCCGTACATGGGGGTGGTAACCCCCTCCAACCCCCCCCCAGGTAGTCTTTCTGCTCTGCACTCCACATTGTTAGAGCTAGAAGCCTGATTTTTCGTATAGCTGCTCCTCTATCCTCTCTTCATGTCCACTGAAAATGTGAGGTTTCTGTGATTTTTGGTTTCGGAGATATGACCTTGTTTTTCAGGTCATGTCATGACCCAAATGACCAATTCTCAACAACTTGCGTTGGCTATAGGCCATGTGAGCTTTTGTCACCTTCCTTTCGGGCTTTTTTTGCCAGTCTTACCTCCCACCTATCATGGAACATGTTGTTCGACGATGTACAGATGTCAAGGTCAGGGTCAAGGTCAACCTAGTTCATCTAAAAAAATTGCGTTTGAGGCAAGCTGAATTTACTTTTCGTGATTTTTTTTTTACTGCATTTTTTTTGTAAAAGCTTCTCAGATCATGATTTCATGCAATATGGACACATAAACAATCGGTGCACACATCAGTATACACACAGACACACACAGACATACAAACACTTATCATTGACTTTGACCTAACTTGACCTGAAATGACCTCAGCAGCAAAAATCTGGTCGGGTAGTGTGAGTGACAAAGAGGTTCTAGCTGGCTTAGCACCAGAAAACGGCATCGTTATCGGTATATGATTTGATTTGCAGCGCACTTGATATCCAGCGGTGACCCAACGGTGACCAACGGTGACAACGGTGACGAGGGTTAACCCGCGACCGCCTGGGGGGGTCGGATCCGACCCCCCTCCGTTTTTCTTGAATAACTTATGAACCGCCTACGCTATCGACTTGAAACTTGGCATACCTTCTTCCCCATCAATTTGACGTCTCCTGTGCATTTTTTTAAGAAAAAAAAAATCAATTTTTTTTTAGATATATCGATTTTAGTGACGTAACTACATGGCGTTTTCAGTCAAAAAGTGGTAAATGTTTTAAAAAATCGCCAAAAATCAGGGTTTTAAGCAAATTGCAAATTAGGGACATGAGTAGACGCAGCTTAATGAGTTCTTTAAAATGGCTATCTCTGATTTTCCATGAAATGCGTTTTTCACCCCTAAAATTTCGAAAAAAACTACATTTTTTTGGAAAACAGCTAATAAAATCCAAAATTTTGAGAGTTTCCAAAAAGCCGGAATATATGTTATAGAGCTCTATTAGAACATTAGATGTCCCAAATTTCAACTTTCTATCTTGATTTTGACCCCCAAATTCTAAAAAATAGCTCCAACATGCATAGGGCATGGTGACGTCATAAGCATTTTCGTGAATTATAGGCACTTCTAAACATTGCATGTGAACACAAATGGCACCACTAGATTCCTGGGACAAAGCTCGTCTAGAAAAGTCAAAAGTGCATTTTCATGTCAAAAATACAAAGTTGAAAAATTGACCTTTTTTCTTAGCCCTCGTTTAGTTATGTATGGTATAAACGATTTTTTATGCTTTCAATGCACACTTTTCCACCAGCACAGTGACTTGGGGTCACATATAACCATTACCATCGGATTCGGCGTGAAAAATAAGCCATAAAACATGTGTCGCACGCCCATGTAGCAGAAAGTGAAAACCGTGACCTTTCGTGACCTGACCTGACCTTGAACCGTACTTAGTATGTCCCCTATACGCACATGGTACCTTCACTAGGTCTTTGAGGTCATTTTTGGTGAGTTTCGAGCAGCAGCTGTCGATTCCGCTGTCCGTAAGCCTAATCATGCAAAACCCCAGAATTTGACCTTTGACCTGACCTTGACCCGAAAGTTGACCTCAATCTTAAAATCTTAAGAGTGCTTTGGGAAGGTATCGTAGAGACCTTTCGAACGCCGCCTCGCGGGGCTCGATGCGACCATTGGTTCTCGAGATAACAGGGGGAGGGGGTCGGATCCGACCCCCCCCCCCAGGCTGTCGGAAATAGCCCATGCGGTGCCGGGTTAAGCGGGAGGGAGGGGGGAGAATGAAAAGCTTTTATACATAAATAAGTAAAAGTCTATTCTTGAATGAAATGGAAACGGTTAAAATGCACAAAATACGGGGGTCACAAATGCGGTTCACTGAATCGTTCTCGTAGGGCCACGTCGGCCGCGTCGTACGTAAGGCCACGTCGGCCACGTCGTGCACCGGGCCGTATCGCACCGGTGGAGTCCCGTCGAAGACTGTTGGGCCCCCGTCCCGTCTCAGCCCTCGTGGTAGCACAACACGTGGTCCTGAGAACCAGGACAGGGGCCAGATGACACATATGTGCCCGGCGTGGCGCGGCGGACCGACCGCCGCGCTCCGAGCGCCGGCCGTCTTTGCGAAAATACCTAAAAATACCAACGTATTCGCTCGCTAACACCTAGGTTTACCAATGTTGTACAAGCGGGACATGTTTATTGGTCC